TGCCGTTTATTACTTTTCAGATATTTATCATTTTAACATTTTGTGAAGAACTTTCTTTCTGTTGAAAATGGCCACAAGGGGAGGAGAAGAAGCGACAGCGCAGCGTATTTTACGCATTACAGATATGGTTCAAGAGCCACTTCAATTTATCGCGCCCATTGGTGGCTATGAGGAAATGCCAGTTGTTACACTTGAAGAAGCTGTTGAACCGCTCGTTCCCATGCTACCAGCTGTTCAAAGTCATGCTTATGTTGCCAAACAAAGATGTGAGAATCCTGCCGATGGATTGACACAAGATGAATCGGCCTCAATTATGCTGTACACGATGGGGTGGGAACCACTCAATAAATGCCTATATTTTGTTTTGAATGATATATTACGATCACCTGAACGACAACAAAAGCTTAGACCATGGCATTTATTTATGAGACTCTTTCTTAGTGCGCTTTTTCGTCTCCCGTTGATTCCTACAACTGCATACAGAGGTGCCAAATTAGACTTGAGCAAGCGTTACGTCGAAGGAAAAACGATCGTCTGGTGGGGTTTCTCATCGTGCACAACAGATATTAGTGTTCTACGTTCGGAACAAATTGTGGGAGCAACAGGTGACAGAACAATGTTTACCTTACATGCTCAATCAGCTAGAGATATTCGCAAGCATTCGTATTATGCAGCTGAAAATGAAGTACTTCTGATGGCTGCAACTCAATTCAAAGTAATAAGCTGTCTTGATCAAGGCACTCTTCACATTATTCAATTGGATGAAACTTGTCCACCATTTCCACTCTTACAACCAGTACCTATTGTGGTTCAATCACCGATCAATCCAACTCCCTCAACTAAGTGAAAATCAAAACGAAAGAACATTCCACTTGATAAACAACACCCTTACTTTCGACACTCCGAACAAAATCAAGAATTATATCCTTCAATCAATGTACGTACCATACAATATGAGCACAAAGAATCGATTTCCTACCGATCTCAAAACCCGTTCACAAAACAAAAATAAAATTGAGTTAGTTTAAAAGAACAGAAAAAAAAATCTTCATGGCAATTTTCAATTAAGTTCAATAGAATTTTTACTTTCAAAGAATGATTTTCATAAACAGTCGATTTTGTCCAAGTAATCGATTAAAAATATCAACTTCAATCACTTTTCTGATTCATCTATTGAACTCTGTTTTGGGTGTGGGTGTGGGTGTTGGTGTGGGTGTGGGATGGGGGGGTGAGTGAAGACAACATAAACAACCACACCCACATCACACACCCCGCACCCACACTCACACCCACACCCACCCACACCCACACCACACCTACACCCACCCACACCCACACCCACACCCACACCCCAAATTGCTTATAGCTTTCATGAATGCAAATGGAGGGTGTGGATGGGTGTGTGGGTGTGGGCGTGGATGTGGGTGTGGGTGGGTGTGGGTGTGGGTGTGTTAATTGACAGAAGATCGATACCCATACCCACACCTACACACCCACTCACACCCACCCACACCTACATCCACACCCTATGTTTTATCCTTACAATAGGATTGTATCAAAATGGGGTACCATACTGACTGGTCACTCCCATATATATTTAAAAAAGTTATTAGAGTTGCTTTATATTTAGTGTATATCTATTTCAATGATTGGACGTAAGCAATCATATATTTCTAAATTGAGATTTAATATTTTGTTGTAAGTTCGTTTGAATTTTTAACAATTTCTACGTCGATTCTTCATCTGCTAACATATTTCCCACTACATTCAAGGTTATTTTATTCAATATCGTGTAATTTTTTGCCAATCTTTTCCATTGGTCTAAAGTTAAGAAATTATTCATGTTGTATTTATTAATTATTAATTGAATATGTCGAATATTTGGGATATCTTGGAAAAAATCAACAATTTTTATAAAAGAAAATGATTCATCCAGTTGCGAATTATCGTTTATTGAAAATGATGGAAATATATTCATATCAAGAAGAAAATATTCAATGCAATTTCTTTTTGCAAACAGCATATAACATCCAAATTCATTAAAAGAATTGCATATTAATTTTCTACAGTGCACTTCTAATCTTTTGACTATATGGAGTAGATGCATCAATATACGACTCAAAGCGTGAAGACTAACTTCATTGTCATACCACAACGAGATGTGGACCAATTTACGAAAATATCTTCTAAATCTGAACATTGACTCTTTTTCATGGAAGTTACAAGAATACAGTGAAGTAATACCATAAAAAACACGTAATGGTTTTAATGTTGGTTGTATTGGATCAAAACTTCTATTTAAACGTAATGAAACAAATTGTTCACGTTTTAATTTTGGAAAAATCATTTCAATAAAAGCATCAGACGATGGACGAATCTCAACTTTTCTTTTATATTTACGTAGTATTTGAAGAATATTGGGAGAAAATAGATTGATTGCATCGTTCAATGTAAGATAACCGAGTATTTCAAAAATCACACTCCAACAAAGGCCAGTCTTGGA